GCCAGGAGAATAAAAAAGCAAGAAGACGGGTGTGAATAGCCTAGCGAGCTACACAGCCAAGGCCTAGTTGTTTAGGCAAAGATCAAAGCAGCAGTGCCCTGGCTGATAATCTGCAGAGAGAGAGAGCTGGTCTTTTGTTTTGTTGGTTTGTTTTGCTCTTTCTGCAGTCTGGGATGCCCCTCTACCTGAGGTGGCCCTGACGTTCCCTGTTTGAATCCAGCTGGGTCCAAAAGCGATTTATGTTGTGTCCTGTTCTATCTCCATCCATGGCATGGTGGAGTCAGGGATTGTAGATGGCTGTTTGTATTCTCTAAAATATGCAGTAGGCATATTACAGGTTTATGTTGGCGGTCAGGAGGCGGACAGTACAAATGCCTTTTCAAGTACACCGTTATCTTAAGCAAATAGTTTTCTCTCCATTATAGGAATGCATGAAATTATCACTGTCCCTGGTACCTGAGTTTCAAGATAAGCTGACTGAGGTCAGTGCAAGGCTTGACACCTGAAACCTTTTTGGAATCCGGCTCTCTTGAGAGTGGTGCCACTACTGTCTGCTCTCAGACGTTTGCGTTGCAGAGACAATAGAGAAGATACATCATAGAAAATTTAGGGATGTTCTTGATGTGATGCTCTAGTATTAACACATTAAAACATGTGTGTCCAGAAGCCTGTACAAAAGTGCCAGAAAAATCAGTTCCTGATCTTTGGAGCATCTGGAGTAGCTTTGCATCTTTAAGGTCTGAGAATAGAAACATAGAAACAGAGCGGGTCAGAAGGGGCCTCCCAGGCCATCTAGTCTGACCCCTGGCTCCAGCTGGCTCCGCTCACGACATGCCCACCATGTGCATGTCCCGCCTATCCTTGAACACCCGCACTGATGGGGCCTCAACGACCTCTCGTGGAAGCCCATTCCACACGCAGTATAAAATATATTGCGAGAACCTGAGTGTGCTCTTATTAAGGATGTGTTGCTTTCACTTAGATCCCCGACTGCAATACTTGTGCAGCCACTTTTCAATAGCACCCACAACCGTTTGTATGTGGACAATCAGTTTGCACTATATTTAATTGAATTATGCGAAATAGTACTGAAATGCATTGTGTGATTACTTATTTAATCCTAGGAGGAGTTAAAGAACCTCCTGCTTAAGGTACCAACACTAGCCAGGGTCCCTACATATGCAAGGGGCTTGCCGTCAAGATAGTCACAGTGGAAATAATTAGCTAGCCTGTGATTTTTTGGAAGTGGAAATAATCCTCCCCAGGAAGAAACAGCTACTTGCCATCCAGTTCAGTGGGATACTTGCCATTCAAAAGTATATCTGGGAATTGTTTTGTTGTTGTTGGATACAGCATCCCATAGGAATGGCGTGACAGCATGATCCACCCTAGTCCTCTTGGCTGGTGCTCTTGCTAGTCAGATGATAGATTTGCTCCTGAACAGTTTCAAGGTCTTGTCTTCCAGACATGATAGATTTGCTTTTGAACAGTTTCAAGGTCTCGTCTTCCAGACGTGCTATTAATTCCCTGACACGGGATGTTCCTTGGTGGAATTATTCTACCACAAGTCAGGAGGGTGCATCATTTGCCCGCTTCATCTGTTGCTTTACTTGGCCTCAAAGGATGAGCCTCAAATGAAATGTCATCATCTCAGGAGCTATGCTGCCTGATTATTTTAACAAACAAACAAACAAGTAAAAAACTAATAATTACAGAATTTATTTATCTAACTTATGCACCTGTGATGTAAATATTGGGAAACTTTTTGAAGAATCCTGAGTACAGAAATTAAAGTACTGGACCTGAATTACCAAAGCTGGTACACTTCAGTCCTGTGGGTTCCAACCTGGTGACACACTTAAGTCCCGTTGAAATCAGTAGGGCTGGTACAATGACTGTCTGCCTGGCTTGAAACCACTTATCCCAATGAAAGACTTATGCATGTTTTTAAAAGCTTGAACTTTGGTTGAATCATGCCCAATAAGTATTCCAAATGCTACTTTGAACAAACTCCCATGGCTCATTATAAAAGCATTTTGTGCCAATGATTTGTTCTTATATGTTCCAAAAATTTCGGGGCTCTTAGGAAAAGTCCCTGCTCCGTCATGAAGCTTTGGACCAGTCCCTGACTCGGGCGTGCAGGATATAAAGGCAACCAATCTATAAGTCTGTCTCTGCGATGGCTATGCACCATCTCTGGTGCCAGAGTTCTGTTTCATTGGTGCCTCTCAAAGGCTTCCATTCTTGGCTGCTTTGCAAGCAAAATGCTGGGGGAGAGAAGGTTTTGGTCAGCTCCAGCGTGGCTCCTCCAGTTTTTAGCAAGACAGTGAGTGCAGATCTCTGAGCAAACCTCTCATATTGGCTGCCGCGGTGGCTGAATTTGATGGGATGCTGGTTGGGTGTGATTAGGAGAAGCACTGGGGTGGAGCAGAAGTGCCTGGAGGTATGGCAAGAGATGAAAGCGCAGGAATCTGAATGGCCTGAGCATATTTCTTGGTTCAGGGGAATTGGAATTTCAATTTTTAGAGGGCCTGCAGAGAGATACCAATCAGGCTTTGGCCAAAGGCACAATACAAATGTGTGTTTACGTATGTTTATATTTTTCAAGTGCTGCAGTGTGGCTTAAGACCTCCAGGATATAAGTACCCATAACTAATGTATGAGCAAAGCGAAAATGGGATCGCTGTGATAAATCGAGGTTCTAAGCTACCTCGGTAACATTGAGAACAGATCTGATGGGAAACAGAAAAGATGAGGAGGAGATGGCCTGCTGGAATGCGTGTGTGGTAGCTTTGCTTTAGAAGCATGTACCAATCTAGGAGAAGCCTCGAAAAAAGGGCTTTTCTGGTCTCTCTTGTGAGGTCAGCCAGGACCGGCCCTACCAGTTAACAAAGGGAGGCAGTAGCTTCCCTGAAGGGCCTGCTCACGCCTCATCTTGGAAGCTAAGCAGGCTCAGGCCCGGTTGGAATCTGGATGGGGGACTTCAATGTTGTGGACCACCCAGAGAGCTTCCGGTAAGGGTGGTATAGAAATATTATTATTATTATTAATAATAATGATGATGATAATAAATAGCTGCAGGCAGCAGATGCTGGGAGAGGCCAGTAAAATGATGGGGTAGAGAATTCTGACTGGTAGTCTGCTTAGCATCCCCTCAGCTAACCTGCTGGCCTTGGGTATGGTGAGGACACTGCAGGAAGGATCCAGCCACCATTTGGACCTGGAGGGAGCCAGGTGGCAACCAGCTCTTCGCCTCAGGGACTCCACCTCTTGGGCTGGTCCCAGAGGATGCTTTGCGCCACCTGTCACGTGGCTGGAGACACCGTGTGGCACTCCTTAGAAGGGGAGGCTGCCCTGATGTATGTAAATGCAACATAAAGGTGGGTTTGGGGGGGTTGGGGGTTCTCTCTCTCTTTATTCTTATCATTAATGGCTTCATTTTCCTTGTGAAAAGCTGGGACACCTCCCGCACCCACCTTGCCACTTTGCCAGGAATGTTGAGATCTGCATTCTGTGTCCTGAATATCGCTGCTTTTTAAATAGGAAAAAGACCCTTTGTTAATAGCCCTGCCTGCTGTGCCACCTGAAAAAACGTATCTGTGGAATCGTGGCTTTCTGATTTAAGTGCATGATGAGGGGAGCACCCAGCTGTAGACACATTGTACTGGCTGAGAGTGAAGTCCAGCTCTCCATCTTTCCTCGGCTGAACTCCCTGGATGGCCTTACTCATAAAATCCTCCTTCACAGCCTTCTGACTTGCCTTTGCCGCTCAGCTTTATTTATGCCTTCGGCCTTCCAAGCTCTGCTATCTTTATCTGATATTCTGCAAAAGGTGACCCATCCTTGGCAAGGTCATAGTCTGTCAAGGCTTTGTATGGGCCACTCGCCAAAATCCACTGCTCTGGAGTTCGCCCACGCCCACATCTCCCCTCTGGAGCTGACGGCGGTCCCAGGTGCTGCCTCTTGGTCTGTGCACAAGCACCTTGGATGTCCCCACGAAGCCCGAGCCGCCTGAAATCAGACCGTGCAATGCAGAGTGTGTGTGTTCCACAAGAAGAAAGAGTCGTTTAACACTTGGAGAAGCGGGCAATGATCTAGCACGGAGCAGCTATTTTCCTTAGAGGCCCCCATGCTGTGGAGCCAGCTCAGACGCCCCAGCAGGGGTGGGGGACTAGACAGCCTGCAAAGATCCCTCTTTTTAGACAATCCACTTTCCCTTTATTGCTTTTTTTTATTGGCTGCTGTCAGGTTTTTCCACTTCTCCTTTCCTTAATTGTTTTATTATGTTGCAACTTTAATGGCTGCATCCTGCCTTGAGAAGCTGCTCATAACTCTTCCAAATGAATGATATAGATTGATCCTTCCACAACCATGGGAGGTAGGTTTAGGGGAGGAAGATGCTGAGAGGACTACTTTTTAAAATTAGTCTTCTCACTGTAAAAGCAGAACAGTGAGAAGCTTCTTGCACTGGGGTAATTGATCTCCTTTTAGCCCAACAAGTCTGCCTTCCAAAGTTTTGCAAAACGAAGCATCTGGCTGATCTTCGTTCCTGCAGTGGAGTTAAAATAACAGTTCCTTTCCTTCCAGAGTTTGTTGTTTCCAGGACCCAAGAATGCCAGCTCAGGGATTCTGTCAGATTCTTGTCGTAGCAGGAGCAAGCTAGGCAGGAAGTACGAGCCTCTTGGCTGGCTGTGAGCGTAGATCTTTGGCACCTGGCGGAGAAGGGCAGCAGGCTCCTTGCTTAGGCGTGATTAGGGATGTCCCTGGGTGATTTGAGGAGGCAGCTGGGTGTGGCCTGTTTTGGAAGCAGTGGCTTGCTGCAAGTTCCTGGCTGCTTCTTTGGGTGTAGGTAGCAAAGGAACAAATTGCACGCCCGTGCTTTTGCAACGTTTTCCCTGGAATTTTACAGTCTTATTTCTTCTCCTTCCCTAGATGTGGAGAAGCCTCTGATAAGTGACCTGAAGGAGCCAGAAGAGCCTCCAATGCAGATGCCTCCAGGAAATCCGCTGGTACTTTCCCACACCTTACAGGAGCTGCTGAGCAAGGACACGGTGCAGGTGGAGCTGATCCCAGAGAAAAAGGGCCTCTTTCTCAAGCATGTGGAGTATGAAGTTTCCAGCAAGGTAATGCTGTGTCTCGCTGGTGAGCGGAGGGATCCGTGAGAGCTGTTTTCACAAATCCTTTTGGTAGGGCCGGCACCTGATCGCAGATCCCTCAGGTGATCAGCTGTGTGAGTTTTAGTCATCAGCCGGATAACTGCATCTGAGGAAAAGACACACCGTAGCAGTAGAGCAGGGGCGCAGACTCCAGACAGGCCTGTTTCCATCCTGTTTTCCCACACCTCCTTTTCCCACCTTCTCCAACCACTGCTTGTCTTCTGGTTTCCTGTTTTTTGTGTCTTTTGCTTTCCTGTTTTTCTCCGTTCTAAAAATAATATAATGAAAAAGAAATGCTTCCCGAAGGCCTAGTTTCTGGCTAGTGCTCTTAAGCTAAACCATCCTGGTGATTTTGGTAGTTTGGGCCTTTCCACCACTGGAATGCTGTCTCTGAGAGCATCTCTGAAATTCGGCCCTTGGGCTGCAAAGGAGGAAGAGCAAAGCATCCTTCATTTGCTGCATGCAGGTGGAAAGCCCCTTCTAATATGCTGCCACCCGCATCATTTTGCTTCCACAGCCTAAAAACAAAAGACGTATGTCTTATTTTTCCTTTGGAGGATTGTGGGCAAATAGGTTAATTTGGATTCCTAGCTCTGAGGCAGGAATCGGAACTCTGATCTCTGGGCCAGGAATTCGTACTCTGATCCCACATCCTCCACTGCAGACAGCAAGGAGAGAACAACGCTGGCTGGCTGGCTGGCTGAGGTCATGAAAATGACTCTGAAGAGGGGGTAAAGGTGGTAGGGAGGGGAGGACGCAAGAGCAGCCAGGATTGGAAGCATTCTGACAGTGCTCCAGCTCCTTCCCCTGCATGTCTCCTCTGCAGTCTGGCAGCCAACCTAGTTAAAACGCAGAGTGGGACATGCAGGGAGGCAAAGATCACCTCCGTTCCTTTGCCGCCTCTGCTCAGGATGCCCATAAGCCTCTGAGTTCAGGGGCTTGGGAGTATCAAGGGTGCAATCCATAGGATTGTTTCCTTAATCACTTAATTTCCTTGTGTGTGTGTGTAAGTGTGTGAGAGAGAGGAAGGGGGAGGGAGAAGTGGAGAACAACCAGGACTTAAAAATAAATGGATCTTTAAAGTTCATTTTGGATTTTTAGAACCTAAATGGTTTTTAACCATATATGTTTTCAATTGCAAATACCATGCTCCTCTGGAAAAATTACTAAGAAATATTAAATAATCTAGATATCGGCCTCTTAGCCTTAGAGTTAATCTCTAAATGCCCATCAGTGCATCTACCAGATATATTAAGTTAAAGGAAGTCTTTTGTGTAAATAAAGGACCATTCTGATGAATTTTTGAATATGAGCATTTATATCCTGCCTGCCAAAGAACAAGCTTGGAAGCATCATGTGATGAAAACAATTTGCTTCGTGTCCAGTAAGTATCAGACCTTCCTTCTACCAGTCAGCCACAGGCATCTAATTTTTATTTTTATTTTTTTTGCTGCTTTTTTTAATGCAAGGAGCTGCTCCAAGGCAGAGTGAGGCAGAAACAAGGAAAATACCAAATTGTGTGTGGTGTGTAGTTTTCTGTCCATTCCTAATCTCACAAACTGTCATGAGTGCTGCTCTTAAGAAAAACCCTGAGTGAGAATATTCTGAGGAACATGGCCTGGTTCGCATGGCACAGCACCTCAGATTTTTAGACATGATGAGATATTGTGAGAGGGGCAGTGTGTTAGTGCAGGAGGCAAGAGCAGCTAAAAACTCTGTCCCTGGGTTGTCGGGCATGATGTGTGAACAAGGAACTCTGGGCTCATTTCTCCCCTGACAAGCCAGATTTGGAAGTGTTTTGGAGGTTTTTACTGCAGTCAGTCACCCATCAGGATAAACAGGCCATTTTGCACTTTGAAAATCAGTGTGCCATTCAGGCAGGGGCAACTGGCTGCAGTAAATCTTTCAGAATATGACTCTGTGCACATTTCTGTGTGATCCCTACTATTGGTGTCTCGGATTTGCAACCCTGCCCTCAGCAGCTTGCTACTCTGCCAGACAAACAGGACTCTCTCTCTGCATATCTTAATATCTCTCCCCAGTGTAAAAACATTTCTCAGATCTCAAATGAATTTTAGCAGATATAATCAAGTTGTCTGAGCACGGCATTCTTCCCTAGTGTGGTGTATAAGCCAACCTGGATTGGCTTACAAGCCACCCCAAATAGCCATGGCTTGTGGTAGGGTTTAATAAATCTACCTTACTGTTTTGCCTGAACCCAGGCGACAGTGTAAACCACAGTCAAGCCTAAAATCCAGAGAACCCCTTGGGCAAGGGTGGCAGGTAAGCTTGCTGTCAAAATGCCCAAGCAGCTGGGAACGATTCACCTGCCCCATCACAGTGGGGGCGCATTTCAAAACCAGAAATGCTTGTGCAGGGAGGCAGGCTTGTCCTCTTAAATTCCAAGTCTTTGCCTTCCCCTGGTTCCCCCAGGGTTCCCCCAGGTTTGGCTGCTTCCTGAGGCATGTGCTTGGGGTATCTTGCAAAGCCAAGCAGACTGCCTGGGCTCCCTACTTTCCCCTGAAAACTCCGGGGGAGTATTAAGGGCGTGTTCCCCAAAACACTTTTTTTTTACAAGTTCTTGGGTGGATGTTTTTTTTGTTTTTCTGGTAACACAGAGGCACTTAAACATGGAGCTGCTGGCTTGCCACACAGAAGAGGCATCTCAGAGTTCCTTCAGCATTCCTGGGGAGACCTTATGAGGGTGAGGTTGGGGAAGAGCAGGGACAGTCTGCCACAGCGCATCGTTGAAATTCCCAAGAGTTGTGTGACCCCAGCCAGTTCTTTACTTCCATGTGAGAGTTCGGTTATCCTCTGACTCACCCTGTGTTCAGGGTGGCTTACAAGAGGCAGAACAATCGAATCATCTTGTATCTTGGACCGGCTTGTTAAGAGCACACTTTTCAAAACGGGAGATTAGGTTTAATTTATGAAATTGCAGGCTGACCTGAACCACTTGGAACGACTGGCGAGCTTGTCGGACTGCCCTCCCCGGCTGTTTGAAAAGTACTGTTGCCAAGGCAGATCACAAGTTAATATTAACCTTAATCGGGAGCAGCAGAATGAGGCAAGGCCTGCAGATTGAGGAAAGGGGCTGCCGTGTTATCTCTGGAGTGGCTCTAAAGCGTGTGATCCATTGGACTGATGACAAAGTTGATCTTTTCTGGGGCCTGCAAGCATAAAAGTCCTGCTTTCTACCAAGGGCTGCTGCTGTTGGCAGAAGCACAGGTGAGGCCGGTGGCAAGCACTGCCCTTCTGTCACCTAGGCTGGTACCCAGCTGTGACTTTACCTGAAGAAGGCAGACTTTGCCAAGGCACCAGGTAGAGCAGAACGCCCTCAGCAGGTACAGCACCTTATAACTGCCTGTCCTGTCCAAGAGAAGGGGGGTGTTTGTCCTCCAGCATTATTGCTTGAAGGTGGCGTCTGGAAAAGCCGGGAGAAGGACACGTCTCCTTGTGTGGCATCACCTGAGCTTTCTGGCCATGTCACCAGTGGATCAAAGCATTTTCGATGGTTGCTGGCGTAACGAGTCTTTAAAGGGGGGTAGAGCTGGTGGCTGCATTCATCTTCCACATTCAGAATGCGAGCTGTTAGGGGAACGCAGTGGGTTGCATCTCTTCCGGTTGTGCCTAACCTGCACGATGCGCAGAGGTGTCTGCCTGGCCTCTGCTTGGGAAGAGGATGATGGACTGGCTAGATCAGCCTCGCCCAACTGCTTGCCGGTGGCCGCACTGATTGGGAAATAAGGGAGCCAGTAAGAGGCACCATGCTCTGATCCCACTGGGCGCTTACTAGAGGGAGATGGGGTCCCTCCACGGAGGACAGGCGTGATGGCCAGATCAAGTCTTGGTGTTCGGAGACATATCTTAGGAGGAGCAAGTGGGAAGGGAGAGTAATTTCCCTCAAAGGCTGCTTATGGGCTTCCGGGAAACATCTGGCCACTGCTGGAAATGGGATGTCGGACTAGATGGGACCTTTGCCTGCCTCAGTGGGCTCTCTGCAGTATGAGGAACCGAGAGCTGCTGTGGCCCCACGAAAGCGACAAAACTTTTTCCTCTGCCTCTGCTGTAGCGCTTCAGGTGCTCTGTGTACAGGCGGTACAATGACTTTGTGGTCTTCCACGAGATGCTCCTTCAGAAGTTCCCGTACCGGATGGTCCCTGCCCTTCCCCCTAAAAGAATGCTAGGCGGTAAGTTTTGGCTAACAAGATGGGCCATGGAGCGGTTGCCTTTGAAGGCGTGCAGGTTTGCAAACATCTGTAGCAACCTCGTTCTTCAGTATAATTCAAGCACTAAATTCCAGTTAAAAACCCATATGGTGGCTTTAACATGCAGGTCCAGAGATCTTGCCCAGGCCTACTGCCTTAGGCCCTTTCAACTGAGAGGGGGGCTTGCCCTCAGGGCAAGATGCTGCCACCACTTCCTTCCCGCTTGGACCTGACATGGACAACCCCTGAAGTTGTACTGGAGTTGGCAAGACCACAGAGCTGTCCCTGCTCAGCTTTATGTATAGAAAGGTAGCACAAACGTCCCAAGACTGAGGTTCTTTAACATGCAACGGGTTTCCTCCTGCAGCTGACCGAGAGTTCATTGAAACAAGGCGGCGTGCGCTGAAGCGTTTTGCCAACCTGGTGGCCCGGCACCCTCCATTCTCAGAAGATGTGCTTTTGAAGCTTTTCCTCTCCTTCAGTGGGTCGGTGAGTATGCTTGGACAGTGCTCCTTCTCTTTGAGTATATTGCATGGGTCTGGGAAAGACCTGTTACAAACCCTCCCTTAAATGCAAGCATGACCTTGGTTTAATAAGGGGGTCAGTCTGTGTTCACCCGCTGCTGACTAGGGAAAAATTGCCCGGTTTCTTTTCCTCCTTTTTAATCTGCTGCTTCTGCTTTTCCAGGATGTGCAGAACAAGCTGAGGGAGCTGGTCCAAGGTGTGGGAGATGAATTCATGACGTGTAAATTAGCAACTCAGGCCAAGGTATTGTCTCCAGCATGCGTGGAAAGCTTCCTACCTGTTTGGGAAAACAGAAGTAGGACAGGAAACACGTTCACAAAAGCCGAGCACCGGCTGCAGCCTTGCTGTGTTCGGGCTGCTGAAACCCCCCTAATTTGGTGGCATTTGAGCCACTTCACCATGTCTAGGATTGCATTCATTCCAGACTAATTTGGTGGGACAGGGAAGAGGAACATGATTGCAGAAGAAATAATAATAGAAGTTATTCCTGCATCTGCACCTAGATTGGCAAAAAATGAACTCTGACTGCAATTTCACCAGCCTTTAAGAGATGAGAGGTCACTGCCTGTCTGACGTCCAGCGATGTCTCTAACAGCACCATCTGCTGGACCAGAAATAGCACCCCAAGTAGGAAACATTCCTTCTAGCTAGCTTTCCCTTTCTCTCAGGGACATGTGAAAAGACAGATGAGGGACTGTGATTGCTCACATGCCTCTTTAAACGTGTTTTAAAGCCAGCTGCCGGGTGGGGAGTGGGTTGGATCAGGCCCAGAGCCCCTTCTCTCCTCCCATACCGTTTCCACACTTAGGAGCTGGCTCTCTCAAGCTGCCATTTATTTGTGTCGCTTATTCCTACACTGCCTTTCATGGAAGACGTCCGAGAACAGCTTGACCGATTAGGGAGAACAGACAGGTCTACATATCTTTCCCATGCATAGACCTGAATGCTTTCACGGCGCTGAGGAAACAGGTGTTTGAGGAGCTAATTTACTCCTTTCAGGCTGGCTTCTAAAGAAATGGGAATTCCAATTGGAGATCTCCCAAGTTTTGTTCAGTTTCACCTTTTCACTTCTCAATTCCCTGCCTTACTGTGACCATGCCTTGATTATATAGTCATAGTAACTCTAGTGGTACCTATCAAATTATTGTATGCATCGCTTATCCCGCCTTGAATTCTGTGCATCAGTGGACGGAACTCCATCTCAGCATTTCATACCTCTGGAGTTGGGATATACATGTGGAATCTCCTGTTTGAAGAACGTTTTGTGTAAGGTTGCAAAGAGATCTCCGATGGACACATTCGCCGTTTCTTTCAGCTTTGCAGGCACAACGCTGCTCTTTGTGATCGGTTCTTTGTGCATTTGACAGCTTTTGTAAGATCGGCCGCCCCCTCTTGCGCTCTCCCCTAGGATTTCCTGCCAGCTGACATCCAGGGACAGTTTGCTGCCAGCAGGGAGCTGATCCGAAACATCTACAACAGCTTTTACAAACTGCGGGACCGAGCTGAGAGGATAGCCTCCCGAGCAGTTGACAACGCCTCCGACCTCCTTCTGTTTGGCAAGGAACTCAGGTAAACCAGCTTCGGCTGAGGGATCACCGTTGTACCTCACATGCGGGTGACCATCTGTGAGAGTCCTCCTTTCACCTTAAATTTGGGCGTGTAGCAGTCACGGAGCACCTGACCCAAACTGGGACTGTGGTGCTATTTTCTAGGTGACAAATCCCTCCTCCCTCGATGATGCCCCCACAATCCATTGCTTCCATTAGGGGGGGAAAAACCATGTGTAAGCAGCCTGTGTGAAGGCCTAGTTCCCTTAACACTGCAAATAGCAAGTCTGGGGGTTAATTGGGGGAAATGGTGTGGTGGAGGGAGGGAGAGGGTTCACACCTGCTCCTCTGCACTCACCCAGGGTCGCAGTCCTGATCTACTTCATGCACCTCACTGCTGCCGAGTGCCCACATTTGAAGTCTCCGAGCACAGGCCTCCCTCTTGCGGCAAGGGTGGGGGCTCTGTCTGGAGGAACCGGGTATCTGTGGAAGGCAGCATCCCTGTTTCACGTGGAGCTCTGCAGCAAGAGCACCCCTTCTTCTTGTGATGTGAATGGCCTGAACTGAGGTGTAGTTTCCCAGACATCTAGTTTGCAATCCAGTACACATTCACCTGGAGGCAAGTTGAACTCAATGGGATTTGCTTCCAAGCAGCCAGGCATGGGATTGCCCTTAAGGGAATGTGCGATGTTTGTGAGAAGCTCCTTAGAGGCTTAGAGGGGCAGTGGCTGGTTACCCTCCGTAGGTTGACACTCGGCACCCTCGGTCATTTCTCTTGCTTCCTGGTGGGACTTTATCCCGTGTTGGGACTGAATGACCCTCAGCAGACAGACAGATGCATCACCGGGCAGTTCGAATGCTGTGTTTCGGGGGACACAGAACCTGTGGGTGGGGGGTGGGACCCTTGCAAATTCACTGCTGCTTTTGTGCACGTGGCAGGCCGACTCTCCCGTGCCGCAGTTCCTCGCTGCATCCCAGCACATCCTTCTCCTCTCTCTCTGCAGCGCGTTGGGCTCCGACACGACCCCACTCCCTTCCTGGGCGGCCTTGAACAACAGCACGTGGGGCAGCCTGAAGCAGGCCCTGAAGGGCCTCTCCGTGGAATTTGCACTGCTGGCGGACAAGGCCGTGCAGCAGGTGAGCTCCTGCCACAGCTTCCTGGTCCAGCGGAAGCCCTGATGCAGGTGGGCCGTCCGGCCTGCCCCTCCCAGCCCAGCAGGGCCCTGTCGGAGAAGACCCACGAGCTGGCACATTTTGCGTCCACGGTCACTTGGAGGGCCAGGAATTTATTGTTTGTTTGTTCGTTTGTTTAGCGTATTTGTA